GTCACGGAAAGTCTGCTTTTTTAATTGGTTTTGTTTCGCTGACGTTCGTGCAGGATCATCTATAAGAATAACTTTATATCTTCCTTTCTTGGATGAGAAATGACACGCCACGCATCGCAAAGCTGCTGGATTAGATAGATAACGCCGACAATTTAAGGTAGACTCAAGTCTCTCCCGCTTTGTTTGATTGACGGAGGAGAATCGATTTATGCGCAGGCGCGTAGTTCGGTAGTACCACACTTCAAGTCACTCAAATGATCCCTGCAGATTTGATTTCGTTTACGCAGTATTGTACGTTAGAGAAAATTAGTAGTTCCAGTATAATCATACAAGCGTGTATACGGGGACGTGCCGCTGGCCAGGGTATGGTGTTTGGCCTTGCTGTCTTAAACAGGGTATACATGTCACCCCAAATTGTCTTCAACAGGCTCTACAATTTAGATGAAGACTCATTTAATTTTTTTGTGTCTTTGACAGAGTAATATTTTCATAAGTAATACCGTAGAAATAGTGGAAAAGACAACGTATAAATTCAATAACGAATCGCAAGCAAGCATACTAAAACGTCTGGTAGCAGCTGTAAGGAGTTAAGTGTATGATGCATAACCAAACTTTATGTCATAACTGACTTTTCGCATTGACAATTTTACTTTATAAATTACAATCGCCCTTATCATCATTGTCGTCGGTCAGTATGAGAACCAGACGGCTGGGATCACGACTACTGAAATCTTTTCCCGCAAAACTGACTAATGTTTTGATAATTTATTTTGAAAAAAAACAAAAACAAAAACAACTGGAAGATTTCGAAGTTCAAATCCGGTCAGTTTTTTTTTTAAAGATCTTTAAGGATGTCCCTAAGTTATCATTGCTTTGTGAACATTCAAGAACCGTGGTAAAGATACATATCTTTCAGTTGTGTTCAGAGAAAACTGGATGACCATGAAATTATATAGAAGAACAACGACGAACATGGGATACATATTGAAGATTTATAAAGGAATTCTGTCCTTTAAAGTTGTTCATAAATATCGACTGAAAATCGTTGAGATTAAAATGATAACACAAAAAAAAAGCCATAGATAAAAATATTACTTTGTAATATTGAAAAACCCAGCGGCTGGGTATAAAAAACTCGTTCTGGTTTTTAATGCTGAGAAAGAAAGATGGTGAGTTTTCAAAGTATTCTCATCACAACCTGAACTCAGAATATCAATCAGATATTATGTCCACGAAAAACATACCTGATTTTCTGCACTGAAAATGTCCGTGCAATAACATAGGTAAACTGCCTATTCTAATATTATAGCTCTTTTAATTTACAGTGCAGAATACAGAGTCTTTTTTGTAAATATCGCTCTATCTACGAGGTGTTATTACCGTTTTCATAATTTCTTAAGCCACAGTCACTTTTATCATTATTTTCTAATTAATTTATCACTGGATACTCACCATAAATATCAAAAGAAATCAAACATCTCTCTGAGCTCAATTCAGGGTATTATGCTTCTGATTCGAAAAACTGAAGAAGTCTCTCTTTATTAACATAGAACAGCTGGCGATGCTTGGATTTGGAAGGAGAAATTCAGCAAATGACGTCAACTTTATCACTTTGCTGTAAAAGGTCCAGTTTTGGGCGTTGATTGGCGGTGTTTAGTATGTTCGTTATGCTCTCTAGAGACATTTACGTTTTTAACACTTTCTTACCGTCATAGATTGAATCAGAATATACGCGTAGATCACAGAAATTAAACTCTTAATATAGAAATTCCGTATTTATGAGTGCCCTTCTGTATCGAGGAATTACGATAGCTTTCCAGGAAGCTTAAAGTTTTTTTTTCGTTATCACGAAGCAATTAAGAATTGCCGTTTTAAACTTGAATAAAGCATTTCAGTTGAGAACATTCGAAAAAGCTTAACACTTTCTGCGCTTGTTACGAAGACTGACCAATAACAGCCATCGTTGGATTTTAGTCAATGAATGGTACTTGCTGGTTTGGCTGTTGTGCCAGAGTAGAGTTATGGGCCATAAGACATAGAGTAGTTATCTTAGTAGCTGGAATAACTCATTTTATTTATTTTAATTTATTCAAACTTGAAACAGATTTCTCTCGATTCTTGTCCGGTCAATTATAAGATGAACTCAGTTCATTACACCGGCTGCACGCAAACCAGTTCCATTAATTAAACCGGCTGCACGCAAACCTGGTCCAGTATCGTAAGTGGATGGGGCATACAAGCCATTTATTTTTTAACTATTTCTAGAAATTGGTCAAAATTGTTACTACGAGTCATATATGTACCGCCGGATAAACTATCTATAGCCTGAGTATCAGGCTCTCTCGAAGGGGTTTAGGGCGGAGCGAGAAAGGAGAGAGAGCCTGACACAATCTTCTATCAAGAGCCGTTCCGCCTCCTTGCAATGCGTGACGCGTGACAATAAATTTAAGCCAATTAAAAGCTGTTCCGGTTTGCTTGATTTCTCGATGTGGCGGTTATATGTCAAAATTTATTTGAAAAGTCAACAGCTTTTATGCCGATTTTTACCAGATTTTCAACTTGTGGACGTCTAATAAACTGTAGAGGATTGATCACTATAATCTTGAATTGTTTTACGCCGTTATATAGGTCGGTGTAATGTTAGTGTTATATGAGACGTTTCCGTTAATCGGTTTGTTTTTGTACGCGTAAAAACAAACCGATTCAAGAACGGCTTGATAACGTAGTAAAAAAAAGAATAAAAGACAAGCCTCTGCAACCATGTTACTATTAAAGCTTTCCCAAACTGTTATTCACTTATATCAAGAGTCATAGCGTCGTTCGGTAACATAATAATTATATATATTTTAATTCTTGTCACTTCCTTTGTCCTCTAGACCAATCAGCTTTTCGGCCATGAAACGGCCGCCGAACACGGCTCTTGATAGAAGATTGTGTCAGGCTCTCTCTCCTTTCTCGCTCCGCCCCAAACCCCTTCGAGAGAGCCTGATACTCAGGCTAAACTATCTATCTATCTAATGCATGCGTAAACAGAAGATGCAGTGGTAGAATGAAGAGAGTTTCTCCTTGAAAAACCCTAGAGAATCTAATGGAATTTTAGCGAGCAGAAGCAAAATCTTTCGTTTGAGAAATTTTTAATACTTTGAGGGCAAAATAAAAATCAGACCAGAAAAACCGGATGGCAAGTCATCTCAATGATCAGCAAAGCATCCATCAACTATACTGGGAGTCAGGTATCCGTACGTTTTCGATATATCATTAAAAATGACTGAAACAGAAAAGTATACTCATTACTTATACTGACTCCATATTGAATTCTATTTCTTCATTAAAAAAAACTATGCCCGCAGGCACTACGATGAAAAACAGAACACTTTCGGATATTTCGAAATAATACACGAATTAATAGCACAAGAGAAAGTAATCTAACGGTACCATTATATACAACAAGTAAACATTTAACCCCTGGTCATCCTTTATGATGGATGCTATAAATAATGTCTTTAAACACGTGCAAATAGTTTTTCTATTTCAATGAGAGCATTGAAAAACAAGTTATTAAGAAAAGCATTAAAAAAAGGCATTAAGAAATGCATTAAAATGCAAGGTTTTCGAGCGAAGAGTTGTTTTACAGCATTTAGCGAGTCTTTCAAAACGTTTTCGAGTGTTCACCCAAAGTGTTTCAAACAGAGAATAAAATCAACGGAAAATATCTTCAAATTCTTGGAAAATAATTAAAGAAGCTATATGACCGGTCGGTAACTTCGAAAAACAATCTAGTCCAAAAACTGTACAATTGTCCTGGACAATTTGGGATAACGTTGCAGTTTCGTTCTCAGTAAAATTGGTCAGTGGAGTGACTATTTCTACTTGAGACACGAAATTCCCAAAACATGATATTTGTTGTCATAGGGCCATCTAACACTAGAGCTTCGATTACCCAAGGATTATGGCCATTATAATTAACATGCTCAGCTTCTTTGGTTTCATGATGAGATCGGAAATATATATACTTATCTCTT